TTGTTTCTAAAATTAAATGAGAAATAATATTCGAAATGAGATTTAAAATAAATTGGTAACCAATTAGCTATTTTTGCCTTCAAGTCAAAGCAAAGGCGTCCTCTTAGGATTCTACAAATAGGAGACAATAGAAAATTGGAGAACATAATTTTTCTTCATTCTCCTATGTAATAGGCGTGTAACATAGCTGTTACGGGTGTGTAACATTCAGTTAAATAGTGTGTAATATTATAGTGGCAGCCGTGTAACCTGAGAGAGAAAGAGAAGAAAAGTCCTTTCATTCCCGGTTCCAACTCATACATGTGTTGATATTAGTGGAAGAGAAAATTCGCTAGTGATCAATCCTATAATTCTAAAATTAGAGCCTACACTCTAGATCTTGCAGGTATTAAGGACTAGATAAGAAAGATTCAAGTTTTCCTAGAAAGCTAGCAGATAGGATTGTTCATGGTCAAAGAACTCAAGTTATCGACTTAATCGTTCGCTAGGTAAATAAATTAAGTAGATTAATTTATTCGCATATAAATTTATATATTCTATAAAGCGTTTAAATGTTATGAAAATTTTTTTTATACATGATTCGTTAGATGCATGCTTCTGCATAAAAAAATCATTTCGAAATCTAACACCAGAAATACCACTAAATGCAGCCGTTGTCGGGAACCAGAATAATGGTGACCAACGTGGTGCCCCAGAAGGGATTGGAGAGAGCGAAAACACAAGGGAAAATAACCCGAGGCCCCGATAGTCAAAATCATTGGGAAGTAGGAAAAGGATTGCCAGGAGACGAGCCCAGAAAAAGGAAGCTACTGCTAATGGACAAGGACTACACCCAAAGGCGCCACCTCGAGGAAACTAGGGTTATGATGCCTAGGAAGACTCGGGTTCGCAGCAAAAAAGTGAAGATTTAAGAAATAGACTTAATGCTAGAAAAGTTGAAGCCTCAAAATGTGTCGACTCTACAATTTCAATGGCTGACGCTAAAGAGATTATGAAGTGCATGATATGTTTGGAGGAGAAGCTAATAGGTGATGTTGCCGGTTTAAAGAAAGATTTAAAAAGCAAGGTGAGTCACCTACAAAAATATTTAGGGCAACTCGTGGAGGGGGTCATGATCATCACTTCATCGCAGATATCATGAAGCCGCCCTTCCAGAGAAATATAAAGCATCGTCGATCCCACCTTATAATGGAAGGGGATATCCCGAGGACTATTCGAAGTTGTACACGAGACACATGCTATTGCAAGGCCATTCTGAAGAAATCATATGCCGAGCTTTCCCTAACCATTTGAAAGATTCAGCCTGCCGATGGTTTAGGACACTGAAGCCAAGCTTTATCTCCAGCTAGGATGAATTGAAGGAAGTCTTCTCCTTCCAATTCATTATGGTAAAGAAGGGCGTCTCGTCAAAGAAAAAGCCAAAGATGGTTTACCAAAAGCCAAATGAATCATTGACGGAATCGCTAGTAAGGTTCGGTGAAAACTCAATTTCTGGTTAGTTATTTAGTTTACCATTGATCAATTATTGTTGGATTCTTCCATTTCTAGTCTTAGGATCCTCCTTCTAGTGTCAATTATTGATGATGAAAATTCATCAACTCTGAATTTACCCTCTCCAGGAACACTCATGTAATGACACTCACGAATTGATAAGAAAATTAATGCAGAAAATATAATAACACCAAAACTTATAGTGGTTCGATAGAATATTGGTGCCAACGTCCACTTATGGATGCACTAAATCTAAAAGAGTATAGGATTTCTCCTACGGCAGAGGATTATGCGTAGTCCCTAAATGAGGAGTTTAACCTTTATTTATAGGTTCTCCTATACATGATATCTCTTGTCTATAGATTACATTATGAGATAGGCCCTTTTTATCCCTCCTTTTCAAAATAAGTATTTTCGTAGCTTTTTCTCTACATTTTAATATTTAAAATAAAATAAATAGTTGTGGTAGATAGTTTATATCTAATTCAGCTCCTGATCTTGATTTGAATCTTGAATTAGAAGATAGGGATTATCTTTTCTTGATTATGCAGTTATATGCAGATCTTGACCATCCTCGTAAATCAAACTCCTAGGATTCTATAAATAGGAGACAATAGAAATTTGGAGAACATAATTTTTCTCCCTTCCCTTATGTGATAGGCATGGAACATTCTGTTAGACATCGTGTAACATTCTAGTGGCAGCTGTGTAATATGAGAGAAAAAGAGAAGAAAAGTTCTTTCATTCTCAGTTCCACATCATACATGTGCTGATATTGGTGGAAGAAAAAATTAGCTAGTGATTAATCCTATAGTTCTAAAATTAGAGCCCACACTCTAAATTTTATAGGTATCAAGGTCAAGATGAAAAAGATTCAAATTTTCCAAGAAAGCTTGGGGTAAGGATTGTTCGTCGTCAAAGAACTCAAGTTATCGACTTAATAGTTCGCTAGGTAAATAAATTAATTAGATTAATTTATTCGCGTATATATTAATAAGTTCTAGACCCATAACTAAGCATCATGAGACCCATAATTTAGCATATTGTGCATCTTCTAGATCCACATGCGTCTCATCCAACATTTAACGGTCATCATTAATCCCAACAACGTCTTCTAAGACTGCAAACATCTCGTCTACTGGTTGATTAACTATTGGATCGACACCTGAAACTGCTTCTACTTCACCATGATTAATCCATGTACTATACAATGGATCAAAACCAAATCGATGTATATGTGTTGTCACAGTTTCTACTAGATGCATTTCATGGTTTCTACATTTCACACAAGGACAACTGATATGGCCAATTGAAGTTGCATAATTTTTGGCGACCTCAATAAAAGCAGATAACCCATTCCAATATTCATCCGACAATCGGTTCTTCAAATAAATCTAACTTTTGTCAATCGACATTTCAACTATAAACATCAACAAACGTAACAATTTATTAATGTATTTAATTAATTTTAATTTTACTCTTCATTAACACAATTAATGAACTTATTAAAATTCTCGTTTTCTAACTAAATTTCAACAGCACAACGACTTATTTTTCATATGATCCAAAAATCAAAACCTGCAGAAAAATAACTTTTAAAAGATTTCGGCACACCATAGCTGCAAGATGTGCCACCCAGAACAAGAATCATAAACATATATTAAATTTCAACAATATAAGAAAATCATAATTCAAATATTCTCATCATAATCCTGAATTCATACAACCAAAAACTACAACAATTTTAAACTAAATAAATATAAAAAACTTACAAAGTTCAAACCCACTAAACGGGGACTGAAAATAGCAGGATTATGTCAGAGGAACCGTGCAAACAGTGACGGAGGCAAAAAATCAAACGCGTACATCAAAACAAAACATCGAACATAATTTTCAAACACCAAAATTAACATTTTATTAACATCTGGAGTAACATATAGACACAATTCTTGATTAATTAAATTCTCATAACCATAAAAAATGACTAAACTCGAACAAAATTCCATAACATTTTCTATTTTCTATTTCATTCTTCCATTTACTTGGCAGGTAACAACAATCCCTAACAAAAATTCTTAAAAATCCCTGACATTGTTTGAATCAATGCAAGTAACCAAACAAAAACAAAATTTACAAAATTAAAAATTAAAAAAAATAAAAAAACAAACCTCAAATGTGGGGCGCTGGAGATGGGAACAAGAAAGAGGGGATCAGAAGAGAGAGAAAGAGAAAGGGAGAGAGAGAATGGAAGAGAGAGAGAAGACGGTGGGCGGTGAGGGGAAGAAGACGCGGAGAGAGAGAGAGAGACTGAAATCGGGGGAAAATGAAGAGGAAGAAGTTAGGGTATAATAGATCAGACTCATTTGCGACTACAATGTCGTCGCAAATACCCCACATATGAAATTATTTGCGACGACATATTGTTGTCGCAAATAATCATTCTACCGCGTTTGTTCTTGGTCAAATGTGTTTAGCTTATTTGCGACGACAAAGAGAAAACATCGTCGCAAATAAAGTGATATTATTTGCGACAACACATGTCGCACAAATAATAAGATTTGTCATCGCAAAAAATGGATTCCCTTTTGCGGCAAAAATCCGCGTCATTGGAAATTGCGCGCCTAAACTATGTGCGACGACATTAAACTTATTAACAATGACATGCTTAATTATTTAACGGAGATTAATTACGACGACATGTCGTCATAAATAATGAAATATTTGTGACAACATATGTCGTCGTAAATAATGTGATCGCAAATGAAATTTTTTGTTGTAGTAACGCAACTTGAGCATGGACAAATTGACCAATTCAACTAATATCAAGTAAAAGAAGACTCATCAACCAAGATCGACCGGAAGTCATCAATCAACTTGAGTTGACTCATGAAGACATTTGAATAGCCAAGCCTGAATTGATTGGAGCACTGCGTGACCCACCTTAAACAAATAAGGAATGTGAAATTAAACATTTTGTTACATGCGACCCTTTTAACTATATTTTCTCATATACGCAACCTAATTAAATTTTCTACCTGTTTGACCACTAAATTTTTTCCCTCCCAAATATGTTTCGCTTATATTCATAATATTCACAAAATATTTTTGTTTTGATTATTAGGTGCATTTCGCTCCATCTTTTCTTTTTTTTTTTTTTTTTTTGAATCTTATATTTTTAAGAGAATTGCCTCAATTGAATAATGTTTCATATTCTAGTTAAATATTTTTTTCTTGTAGTCCTCAAAATAATTTAACTTTATATAACAAATGTGTCTTGCATGAATATTTTTTCTCTTTTTGTAACTGCTCTATTAAAATCATTTTTCTTACATGTGCCCCTGATTAAATATCTTTTTCTTGCAACATTTCTTTTTTTCATTCATGCAACATTTTTAAATACTACTTTTTTTTATAAGTTCCCTAAAATAGTTTATTGTCTAATTTACACTATTAAAATCACCTCTTTTTTAAATGTATTATACTTTAGATATTTTTTAGAGAATAATAAATTAAGAACAGAATCAACTAAACTTTTATAAAAGCTTTACATCCACACACCCATAAAAATTCAACAAACTCAATTATGATGTTCACTCACAAATTTATAACTAGCATACATGAACACTGTCACAACATATAGATGAACAGCGTATAGAAAATCAACTTGAAAGTTAAAAGCGTATAGAAGGAGGTGGTGGCAGATAAGCCCTTTTATGTTGCGGAGGCGGCGATCTTCTAGAACGACGTGGTGGAGGACTTTTACAGTGCACAGGCGGTGGTGCTCTTCTTGGAGAAGGTGGAGGACTTTTAAATTGCAAAGGTGATGCTCTTCTAGGAGGAGGTGGAGAACTTGGCTTGGCTCTCAAATTTCGTGTTACCGGATAGTCCACGTCTGCCAAATTCAAATTATAAAAACAACGTCTAGGCTATATTTGATTACTAATGATTCACAAACTAAATTTTTCAAACTCTCGCAGACTGAGATTTCAAACCGAATTTAGCTGTGCCGCTTATTTAACACTTCAGGGACAAAAAGTATAGAAATCACAATCATTTATCTCACTGAGAAATTAAGAACTCGATCCAAAAAATAATGGTTTCAATCATATAAAACAATATATATACTTGATCAAACTTCTTGTCATGTAGATCATGCATAGATGCGGATATATTATATAAGTAGATGAAAATGATGCCCACCTGCCTTGACCAAATGATTATGCACTCCAAAAATATTTGCTGCAAAGAGGGCAATTAGCATTATGAAACGAATGGCAGAATAGAGTTTCATTTTTCAATCGTGGATATGTCTTTCTGTTTTCTTTTGCAAACATTATATAGACACAAAAATGAGAAGATAGTAGTAATTAGTCCAACCTTGCGACTTGGTCTATATGGAAATTAAAACTTATCATCCAAAAGAAGCAGCTTCCTTTAAATTTCCTGACTAAAAATCCAAAGATAAAAAGGATCAACAGCAAAGTTGACCACGTATGTTGAATATGTGTACGTTTGATTATTGTCACATGTCGCCCTCACTTGGAACATGTGATCAAATGTGGCCCGCAAACCTTAGAAAGTGACAGTTTACTGCTGCAAGGAGGCATATGTTATAAGTAAGAGGTCGACCATCTTGAGAAGGGGGCATGAGGTCGACTGCATTTACAGGTAATAGCGAAGAGGTTAAAGAAAGCATCTACGAAGTCAAGCCAACGTAGAGATAATGATCTAGAGGATTCTTTCCAAGATTTACTACTTGTAATTTAAATTGGAAATATGTTCTAATTGATTGTAATCTCTATCTTTTGGGAAACTATCCCAAAAGATAAGAGAAATATTCCCGAATTTGAATAAGAAAACAAGCGGGGGCAGTGACCTAAGATATAAATAAAGGATTATAAGTCAGAAAATCTCTAAGTGTGATCTGAAGCATTCGTGAGTGTAATTTCTCCGAAAATAGTGAAATTTCTCTCCTTTCCCATAGGGGACATAGCTCTCAAATCGATGGTGAACTACTACAAATTTTGCTTCTTCTTGCTTTAATTTTGCTTTTAGTATTTTTAAAGATCATTTAATTCATACAAACCATTAAGAAATTCGTTATAATCCAATTGATGAATTTTCACCGTCAACAATTGGCGACTCTGCTAGAGACCGAACCCAAAATCTTTGGTTTGCATGAAAAATTTCAGTGAGAAAATGGAGCTGAAGCCATGCCTCCAAGAAAAACAAGAAGCAACGCTGCGAGTCAAGGCAACCAAACTGAAGATAACACCGTAAATCAAGCCAACTAGGCCAATAGAAAAGGGGTGAGAATCAACCCGCAGTTAGGAACGAGAAAGTTCCAGCCCTAAACATGCCTCAGCCAGACCCATATATTAATTACACCGTATATTAATTACAACATTTATCTATGAATAGTTCGACATATATTAATTACAACAATTACATGGTTTTTTTTTTTTTTGAAAAAAAAAATCAATTATACCTTAAGATTTGACTTTTTAAGTACACTTATTTAAAATTTCAATCACTAATAAATCAAAATTCGACTATACTAGTCTATAAATTCACAAATTTTGAAATCTAAATGTTAAATATTAATATTGAACTCCATTAAAAGCCGAATTTATTTAGGGAAAAAAAATGACCGATACAAATAGATAATGAACGTAAACTCTAGTTCAATTTTTTAATTTATTTTAGCCCCCGAAAAAAAAAATACAAGGTTCTAGCTCCGCCACTGAATCTTACCAACAAAGTAAATAGTTGTTGGATGCAAAGGTTAGAAAATTAACCTTGAAAGAGCTGAGAAGGTAACTCATCTACAATGGCTAGAATCAAATCACACATGGTAATAGGGATTTAAATGCTGAGAGGAAAAAAAAAACTGTATAGACAGTGCTTATAAGTTTATTATGGTATTGTTCTTTTCACAACTCAAGTTCTATTGTCACAGTATTTTCTCTCATAAAAATTTAAACTTAACTTTTTTGTTATAGTGTTGTTCTATAACATATACAACTCAAATTCTTAACTTGAGTTCTGAAACAAACAAAATGTAAGCCTCTTATTTTTGACAAATACCCTTAAAAACAAACAGAACTACAACTTGAGTTGTGGGCATAGCACTTACCATTTATGCAAGTAAGCTAAGCTTAGTTCTTTTGTCAGCTATTTAAAAGTACATTAATCTTGATTTGTATCCCTTATTTTTGAAAAATACCCTTAAAAAGTTAATTGGTCTTGATTTTTATGCTTTGCTCTTCATCAATACCCTTTTCAGTCAAATAACAATATTAAGAAGAGGGTACTAATTAAGAGTAAGGTGTAAAAATCTATACACATACACTACCAAGGGTAAGTTCAACAATTTTTTTATTTTTTTTTATAAAGGGAAATATTGACAAATACTCTTAAAATGTATATAAGTCTTGATTTTTATTTTTTACTCTTGCTTAATACCTTTTTTAATCAAATAACTATATAAAATGTACTAATAAAAAGTAAGCGGTAAAAATCTAAACTCATACATTTTTTAAGTGTAAGTCAATAATTTTTTCCTTTATTTTATTTTTATATTAAATGTTAAATTTATAAGAGACTTATAACTCGCTCTGACCATCAATTCAAAGTAGTTGGTGTGTGATGCGACAATATATAATTGGTTATTTTGTAAAAAGTAGACTTAGCTCGTGTTTGGCGATGTTTAGATTATCTGTAAAATTCATTAAAAAATTAAATTATGTTCTGATTTGTCTTACTCTCACCTAATCCCCTCCAACTTGAGAATAGGTTTATCTACTTTTTTATTCGCTGTTAGAGCGTTATTATGGGGTTGAATCATGAAATTCTAATGGCGCTCCACATCAGTCAATCCCATCATTAACGCTATTAAGCTTCCGCTAGCTAGATGAATAACTAGCTATATCAAAAGAATTTTGTATTCAAGATTCCCACAAAAAATATAATAAAAAACTATTCAATCAAATTTCTCTCATTCTATTACTGTTAGTTCAAAACCGACCATGCAAGAGGAGGTGAATTGAGTTTTAAATGTTTTTTAAAACAAGTTTACTAATGTTTTAAATTAATCAAATTAAGCAATGATGTATAGAATAATTAAGGAGAGAAAGGAAAGAAGTGTGCAAACTCCATTTATAGTTTTTCAACAAAGCCGCTTGCATCCATTATTGCCGAACATCGTTGATTGACCCAATGGAGTTTCAACACCATCATACCATATACAACCCACGACTTGGATCTTTTTCCACCCAAAGCTCACAATATGTCTTTGCAGACCACCAATCTAATTTCCAAGGAAATTTGTAAACATATAACTATAACGACCCAATTTCTTGGACCGTTAATTTACTTAGTTAAATATATGAAAATTTAAATTAAACATACCAGACTTCACAGACTTATAAAATTATGAATATATTTTATAAAAAATATAACATACTTCTATCGAGTCATAGGAGTTAAATAATAATAATAACACACGTGAAAAGCTTTGAAATAATTTTTTTCTTAGGGAAACTAGATTGAAACTTTACATTCATAAGACTTAATTGCATACTTTGTGCAGAGGACGTATCGAAGTGGTATATACTTAAAGATTCAAGTTCGTGAGTGTTCAATCAATTTTAAAAGAAATACCAAGCATTAACAAAAACGATCACTAGCTATGTAATAATGATGATAGCATAGGTTGGCTGTTACTTTAACGGATCATGTAAGCATATTACGTCCTACTAAATAAACGTGCAATTGAAAAGGTGAAGCATAACCACATGTCTTAGTATTAAGCATAGAAGGACCTATCCTATAGATGCAAGTATTTAAATCCTCAAAGCCTAACATACTGAAATAGTAGTCTCATAACATTTTAAAACAAAAGTAACTTAAATGCGGAGTTAATTGCGGGTGGTATCCATAATCCCCTGTTGACCCCATCGCACATGCACCATCCTGCCTGTCCATCATGATAGCTCAAGTGATGGGTTTTTTGCCCAGATTATTTGCAGCACAGACAACATGGGTGAATAATCTGTTTATTAACTTTACATTTTATGGTCCTATGTACGTACCAGGTGCGCGCGACCAATGAGGTGTCGGGAGAACGACCCAAATATATTATCTTTTCTTTGCTATAGCCTCTTATTAGGTGAGCATGCAATCATAATCATGACTCATATTCAAAACATAACATTTAATTTATAGAGACAATAATACATCGATAAATTATTTTCATGACATCTCAAATAATGTACAAATGAATGTAATAACACATCAATGAACAATCATTCAAGAACGTGAAACAATTCGCAATCATGTGACATCATTCCTTTAAGGTGAGGTTTGTACTTACCTGATCAAGCACAACCTCACTTAGCGATGCCCGCTTACTTATCTTCTTTTAGAACACTCTCTGGTGACAACACTTCTTAGTTAGAGGGGTCTGTAGGTTGACTTATCATTGAAAAGTTCAAGTCTCATTCGTATCTTATGTGAATCATCACTAATTAAGTTCTAATATGACAGTCTTAATTAGTATTGATCATTGTCCGAATAGCTTTCCTACATTAGATAGTTAACTACAACTTAAATCATTAACAAATTAGTTAATAATAATAATATTTTCTTACTAATCTTATTGATCATTATCGGAATAGTATTGTATTAATCTTATTAATACTCCCTTCTCTGGTCCAACACTTAAAAATATAGACACAAGGTCAACTGACCATTTTAACACTCACCTAAGTTGAGAGGACAATTTTGCCCGTTTTATTTGCTCCTAGACCTACTTATGGGGTTCTGCCTTGCACTTTTTTTTTTTCTTAACACGTCTAACCCTTCATACAGAGCCTGAGGTATTCATGATGCCAAATTGTGGCTGGTCACTGCTTAAATTTTCTAAGTTCACACTTCTACCGTCGTACTTTTCGGTTTGGGTAAAATTTGTATTCCAGACTCATCCTATCTCCAAATGACATTAAATTTGGATATTATGCTATTAACATATCATACTATTACGCATTAAAACAGTTTTACAAAATAAATTTTCTATCTCCTAAAATTGGAGCCTTTAATCTCGAATTGCACTATGAACCCACTGATTCAAAATACTAATTTCAAAAATTCATAACTAATTGTACAAAAATCATTTTGAGGCATATAATATCTTGTTGGAAAGCTTAGGATGTCTAGTTTCTATCCTAAAAATTTCAGATCCGAAGTCTGATGTAACTAAAAATGGATGTATTCTTTACTGGTCACAATGAGTGTACTGATCATGGTCAAAAATTAAACCTAACATATCTTGGCTAAAATAACTCCAAATCAAGTGATTCCAAAAATTATTCTATAGTTGATTCACTGTATTATCATACCATTATCAAGAATCATTAAGCTAAAGTTTAAATATTCATAAAAATTACTTTGTAACCGGAGTATCCAAGCAAAACACAACCGTAACTACAACAAATATCCCTGTTGTATATATATGTGTGTATATATGTATATATATTTATTATACTTTGTAATAGTTTCTTTTTTATTTATTCAACAAAAATGGTGATACAAGTTATAATATCAAATTTAAAAACACCGCATAAACGAAACGTCCAAAATAAAACATTCAATACAATTTATATATCATCGACTGTATAACTGTTTTTAAGTTGGCAACTTGTACATAATATAAAGCATCTTACCAATAGTTAATCACACAGACATCATAAGATCAAAATACATTTACTGAATCTAAAATCTAACTAATTAGCGAGTAGAGTATCAAGGAATTCCAAAATGTCTAGCTAAACAAAGTGCCCCAATAAAGTGACCCATCGTCAAAAAATGCTCCAATTATGCTGAAATTTCCACCATTTAACCTGTAAATAAAGCACTACAATTAATTGAAACATACAAATAAACAAAGAATAATAAAGCTTAAACTTACGTACTAAAGTGTACCTCTGTCATAAATCCAATTGTGCATTTGATTATTCTAGCTAGTAAAGGATCCTCATATCCTAAATAATAGTCTATATAGCAAGAACTAGTAACACTATGCACAACCTTATAGCTAACTTGCATATGTTTTACAAAGAGTTGAAGAAATCATGACTTCAATGATGCACTAGGTAAAATTTTAATGTAAAATTTATACGACAGAGAGTATCTTAAATATATTATTTTAGAGATAGTTAAAGAAAGCATGAGTCTTCATTGCCTACATTTAAACCAAAAAACAATGTCACAATCATACAAATATTATCAAAAAAATATTGATTTCACCTTTAAATACATTTAAGTATATGATGTAGTTTACATGTAATGGTATACTTAAAACAAATTTGCACAAAGTAGAGAGTTTTCATATCCCTTCAAAATTTTATCAGCAAGCCATGCCACATTGCTTGAAATTACTTTTTCAATGGTACTCATCTCACTCGTAGGCCTCCATAAGAAAGCATTCGGTTGTTTTGCCACATCCACCCATACTCTAACTACTTTCGGTCCAAGAGGTACATAGTGAATGGTCCAAGCGATTTGATTGCCTTGGCTTTTCTAATTCGCGGTCACGCTGCGAGTTTTTCTCAGAGCCATCAATCAATTATTGCCGGATTCTTCGATTTCTTTCTTAAGACCCTCCTTCTAGCGCCAAATGTTGACGGTCAAAATTTGTCAATTATGAATTTACCCTCTTCGGGAACACTCATCTAATGACACTCACGAATTAATAAGAAAATAAATACATAACATAAAAGAACACGAAAATTTATAGTGATTCGACAGAATATTGTTGGCTATGTCCACTTTTGGCTGCATTAAATCTTAAAGAGTACATAATTTTTCCCAAGGCAGAGGATTATGTGTAGTCCTTAAATGATGAGTTTAACCCTTATTTGTTAGTTTTCCTGTACATGATATCTCTTATCTCAGATTACATTATGAGATAAGCCCATTTTATCCCTCTTTTTGGGATAAGTAGTGGCTTTTTCTCTACATTTTACTATTTAAATTTAAATATATAGTCATGGCAGATAGTCTATATCTAATTCAGCTCCTAGGATCTAGATCTTGATTTGAATCTTGAATTAGAAGATAGGGATCATCTTTCCTTGATTCTGTAGAAATAAGTAGATCTCGATCGTCCTCGTAACTCGGACTCCTCAGTGTGGACAACTCTGCGGCTTGTGTGAGACTTCTCGACCAATATCGATAGTGCTAGTCAAGTTGTCTCCTCGACCAAAGTGTTCTTCCCTTCCAGAACTCCTCGACCACCAGGTCTCATTCTGCCTTCCAGAAATCTCGACTCCACATCTCACTCATATTATCAAGTTCTTCGACCATGGTGCAACATATTTTTTTGGATTTTGTGTTGTTTGTTGTTAAAAAAAAAACCTTTTAATATAATACGAACGTTAAAAAGGAGTAATATTAGTCGGAGACAATTATCCTGGTGTCTCACATTCTTAATGTTGATGTTATTGTCATGTTACATTTCACTTCTACATGTTTCGATGGAGAAACTATAGACAAACTATATACCTTGGGTTTTTCTACATTCTCACTATCTTGACATGTAGAACTAAAAACTTAAAATGACATTTATTTTACATAGCACTAATATTGAAAATGTGAGACACCAAGAATAATTAACATTTGTATTTTATGTTAATTTGTTTCGGTTTATATTTGACAATTTTCTAGATCTTTTATTTAAGTATTTTATAGTAGTTGTAATATTTGTAATGAGTATGATGAGGAGGATTAGTAAGAGTTTTTAAAAATTACAAATTGAATTTGTGCAGAGGAAATATGATGTAGGATAGAGTAGGAAAAAGAGAGAGAAAAAGAAGAAAGAGAAGAATTACGGTAGAAGAAGAGAAGAATTAAGATAGAAGAAGAGAAGAATTACGGTAGAAGAAGAGAAGAATTTTAGAGTGAGAAAATTTGAATAATCACATTATTGATCACTAAGTTCTGAAAAGTGAAATTGTAGTATATAACATATTTGTCAAACTAAAAAAATAAATAGCAAAATTATTTTAACTAGTTAGTAAATACCAAATTCTTAAAAGGTTAAATTTGTTTTTCTACTTTACCCCTATATTTAAGTACAACTAATATGGAAACCTTAAACTTCCCTCAAAATAAAAAACCCTAATCCCCAAAATTTATCTCTCTTTCTCTCTCCTCCATCTTTCTCGGCAACACGTTCTCGCTCTCTCCTTCTCTTTCTCTCTCTCCCCTCCATCCCTCCCTACCTCCCTCCTCACGATCTCTCTCCTCTCTTGCTACCGACTGCATCTATAATAGCTTGATCTTCAAAAGAAACAGCATAAGAATAAAATTTCCCTCCCTCCCTCCACACGGTTTCTCTCCTCTCTCGTTGTCGACTGCATCTATAACAGCTTGATCTTCAAAAGAAACAACCTAAGAATAAAATTTCCCTCCCTCCCTCCTCACGGTCTCTCTCCTCTCTTGTTGTCGACTGCATCTATAACAGTTTGATCTTAAAAAAATAATAATAATAAAATAAAACAACGTAAGAATAAAATTTAGGAGTACCTGATCAATAATTTTCGGTTACTTCCTATTAAGCAAAAGCTTAAACTTAGAGTAGCATATAACATATATCATTAATAGGATTATAACCTAAGTATTATAAATATCACATCATGACTTAATTTAAATTCTTAAAACAATCATAATATCTTAGTACGAAAATTATTTGTGTTGTGATATCCATAACCATGCCTTCTCCATCTTGCATCAACCTTTTCAATCCATCAGAAGCATTTCAGGTAGGAGATTTTGGTGTACCTATAATATGAACCACCTAATGAGCAAAAGCTCAATGACTACAAATACTCTCACAAAATATTTGCGCACAATACTCATATAAAATTGCTTAACCAATATTTATGTTCAATTATGAAAATGTATTTAATCTCTTTGCGGCTTTGTGCACGTACCCATGGGACAAGACAGTGGAGAGTGGGGGAGCAACTTAAACATTTAATGTGACTACCCCAAAGTTATAATTAATTTTAGTACATAGTTAACTTTCGTTAAAAGTTCGAAGGAATTTTAACCTCTCATCCCTTAAGAACAGAAGGTGATACGGCACTTGACAACTCATCTTTACATGAGCCTCTTATTTAGATAAACGTGTACAATATCATCTATATTCATCATCACAATAGAATCACTTACAGAGAATTAGTGCACACAAGGCAAACAATATTTCAAGCATATCTTTTAAAATACATTAATGTTGCAAGTGACGTTTCTACTAACCTGAATAATCGTACTTAATTAGCGTTTTCTACCTCAACTCACCGTTTCTGTGCTGTTGGTTCTGTTTTCAAATTGTACAGAAAATGACTGTCAGTTCATTATCAAACTTCTAACTCAATTGTTTAAGTTTTATGACTCATATCTCATCCACATTTCTTACGATAAATTAAATAAATTAATTATCCTCCTTCTAATTTGATAACATTTTCCGAGTAAATTAACTAGTGAATCCATTTCTAAACTTTAGTAACCGACTAGGTTAACTATTTCCATTCCTTAAATAAATTCGTTCTCTAACTCTAATTCATCAATTAATTAACTATAATTAAATCCGTTCTTAACTGTAATTAATCATTTAATTATTAATTTAATTAACTCACTCTATTATTTCACTTAGAACCTCGAAATCAACTTAACTAATTTTCGTAAACGATCTATCTCTAAGTCTCAGACTTGTCATCTCCCAACCTAATTCAAACTTATAACTAATCCTAAACTTCTCTAGTGATCAATGTCTCCGGCTTTAACCTCACCTCTAAGGATTAAATTTGTTAAACTTAAGGATTATTAAAACTTCCATTGGGCCCTTGGGTTGGATTGTAGCTTTTGGAGCTCAGTTGACACTTTTATCTTCAGGAAAAAATTACGATTCCCTTTTTTTTTGGTAGACCGTTTGTTCGTTCTTTTCGTTCCCTTTTTTTTTCCCCTGCCTTGCTTTTTGGTTTTGATGCCTTTGTTGTCGTTTTTGATACATTTCTTATTATCGTTTGTTGTACTTAATTTTTTTTTAAAGGGACATATATACTACTCTTTTCAAAAGTTCCCTACAATAATTTATTGTCTAATTTACACTATTAAAATCATCTCTTTTTTAAAGATATTTTTTAGAGAATAATAAATTAAGAACAGAATTAACTAAACTTTTATAAAAGTTTTACATCCACATATCCATAAAAGTCAACAAACTCAATTATGATGTTCATAGACAAGTTTATAACTAGCATATGTGAACATATATATCAAGTATCATCTTGATTACAAGGGCACTTGAAAGTTAAAAGCGTACAGAAGGCGGTGGTGGCAGATGAGCCCTTTAACGTCGACCATGATTGCGATGTCGCTTGGCTCTTCTAGGACTGTGTTCGGTGGCTGTACTAGGAGGAAGTGGAGGACTTGGTTGGACTCTCAAATTTCGTGTTACCGGGTAGTCCACGTCTGCCCAATTCAAATTATAAAAACAACGTTTAGGCTATATTTTATTACTAATGATAGACCTTATTTATTTTACCGATTCGAATTTTTAATTTTATTTTTATTACAGTTAAAAGCTTTCATATAAAATCATATTTAACTTTTTTTATTACAATTAAAAATTATTACATAAAGTCAAATCTCAGTTCGAATTGAACGTGTCATAAACTAAATTTTTCCAGGGAAAAGGACAAAATATTGTACATGTATACAAGCATTCTATCACCTTTCAAATTTTACGTTTAAAAAAAAAAAAAAAAACAACTCTTTCTTTAAAAATAAATAAATAAAGGAAAACTACAAAACACCCTTTTATAGTTAATCATATAGTACTATATATTAATTTCGTTCTTTCATTTCATAGAATTTCTCTACAACGGCCAACAAATACGTTGTCAACCTACAATCCCACATTTGAAAATTAAAACCCAGCAAGAAACCCCCACAATTCTTAGAGAAACCCTTACCGATCGTATACTCCTCAGATAAAAGTAAAATGTAGTCTTAAATTCAAATAGAACGTGAAGCCAGAAAATGTTGGAGAATAAAAAAACACTCGATTCTTAACAAAATTTTCCATTAAAAATGAGCTTAATAGCAAGATCATTTCAATTTGATTTGCATCATGGGAAATCGGGCAACTAAAATGGTAGGTTAATTGCTTCAAACAAGAAAATTTATTTTCTATCAATTCTGGAAGAAAAGAACAGATCTGCATCTTCTATTGAAGCCTCGGACAACGTAGAAAAGACATTGAATACACTTGATCCAAAACATAATGGTTTTCAATCATATAAATGCATAGATGCAGATATATTATATAAGTAAATTACTTTTTAAAGAATGAAAATGATACCCACCTGCCTTGACCAAATGATTATGCACTCCAAAAATATTTGCTGCAAAGAGGGCAATTAGCATTATGAAACGAATGGCAGCATAGAGTTTCATATTTTAATCCTGCACATGTCTTTCTGTTTTCTTTTGCAAACATTATATAGACACAAAAATGAGAAGATAGTCCGTCAACAATTTAACAGTAATTAGTCCGCGTTGTTTGAGAATTGATGATTATTTCTTTTCGTTTGCTTGGTTGACAATATCTTGCAGACATTAACATTATTCAAAGTCTACGCACCCTCATGCACGCACATTAATTCATTAGCTAGATGTCTACTCATTAAAGGAAAAAGCTAACTTTGCGACTTGGTCGATATGGAAATTAAAACTTACCATCCAAAAGAAGCAGCTTCCTTTAAATTTCCTGATTAAAAATCCAAAGAGAAAAATAATCAGAAGCAAAGTTTACCACGTCTGTTAAATATGTGATCAAATGTGGCCCCCAAACCTTAGAAAGTGATAGTTTACTACCTCAAAGTTTGAAAACTTTCGAGTTTGCTCCTTCTACTTGTTAATAACTTTAACAAAAAGGAAAACGAAAGAAAATGAGTGTACACGTTGAAATAATTATGACATAGTAATGCTCTTACATTAGTGCATGTTTACGCTTAGACAACGAATATCCGCCAGCAGTTTCTTAAAAACCGACAACTAATATCATACACAAAAATGCAACATACACATTTCCGTGCTTTGAAAATGCATATATAGAGGATTAGATGACAGTTTCTTCTAAATCTTTGTCTTAGCTTTTATTGATGATTTGTTGTTTTTATTGATGGTTTGTTAGTATTTCGTAAACCAAAATTACAAGGGGTAATACCAATGACAAACACGCAATTTGACATAATATCCGATTAATTCTTCCATGTATTCAGTTGTAGGGTGAAACACCGAACCCTAAATAGGGCCCGCAGGCCATAAAGAAGAGCATTAAATGATCAAATATAGCTCAACCTTAAGAGCCACGTCAATAAATAGCTTTATTAAGAGTCGACTGCAGCGACGAGGCATCTGTTATAAGTAAGAGGTTGACCGTTGTGTGAACACGACCTGAGGTCAACCGCATTTACAGGTAATAACGAAGAGGTTAAAGAAAGCATGTACAACGTCGAGGCTAAGTAAAGATAATGTCTGAAGGATTTTTTCTGAGATTTACTACTTGGAATTTAAATAAATAGAATTCAAATAGGGAATTTGTCCTAATTAATTGTAATCTCTATCTTTTGAGAAACTATCCCAAAAGATAAGGGAAATATCCCCGAGTTTGAATGACGAAACAAGTAGGGGCAGTGACCTAAGATATAAATAAGGGATTATAGGTCAGAAAATCCCTAAGTCACATATTGAGCATTAGTGAGTGTAATTCCTCTGAAAATAGTGAAATTTCTCTCCTCCACACAATGCACGCATCTCTCAAATCGAGAGTGAACCACTATAAATTTTGCGTATTCTTGCTTTAATTTTGCTTTTAATTGTCTTAAACATCATAAAATTTGTACAAATCGTTAAGAAATTCGTTATAATCCTGTTGACAAATTTTCACCGTCAATAATTGGTGACTATGCTGGGGACTGAACCCAAAATTTCTGTTTTACGTGAAATTCCGGTGAGAAAATCGACCTAAAGCCATGCCTCAAAGAACAAGAAGCAACGCTGGGAATTAAGGCAGTAAAATTGAAGATAACACTGTAAATCAAGCCAATCAGGCCAATAAAGAAGGGTTAAGAATAGACCCAATCTGGAGAATAAACCCGCAGTTGGGAATGAGGAAGTTCTAGCCCCAAACTTGTCTCAGCCAGACGTAGTACAGATGCAAGCGCACTTAAATTCTCTAACTGATATTGTTAGATACTTGGTGGTCACTATAGAGCAAATTAATAGGAGAAATTTAATACCTCCTCTTGAGGATGCTCTACCTGTTGGGATAGTATTTAAGAATAATAATCAAAATGTGTTCGTAATGAATTTAATTAAAGTTTCTGATTCTTCAATTAAAACAATATAAATGCATGTTATTCTCATTAAGAATGGAATGGTATTATCCGCACTATTAATATGGAGGGATGTTGGATGAGTGTATTTCACATAATGTGATTAGTGTATTTCACATAATTTAATTAAAGAGGCAACATACTGTACAATATCATCTATATTCATTATCACAATAGAATCACTTACAGAGAATTAGTGCACACAAGGCAAACAATATTTCAAGCATATCTTTTAAAATACATTAATGTTGCAAGTGACGTTTCTACTAACCTGAATAATCGTACTTAATTAGCGTTTTCTACCTCAACTCACCGTTTCTGTGCTGTTGGTTCTGTTTTCAAATTGTGATAATGACTGTCAGTTAATTATCAAACTTCTAACTCAATTATTTAAGTTTTATGACTCATATCTCATCGACATTTCTTAGGATAAATTAAATAAATTAATTATCCTTCTTCTAATTTGATAACATTTTCCGAGTACATTAACTAATTAATCCATTTCTAAACTTTAGTAACCGACTAGGTTAACTATTTCCATTCCTTAAATAAATTCATTCTCTAACTATAATTAATCAATTAATTAACTCTAATTAAATCCGTTCTTAACTCTAATTAATCAATTAATTATTACTTTAATTAACTCACTCTATTATTTCACTTAGAACCTCGAAATCAACTTAACTAATTTTCGTAAACGATCTATCTCCAAGTCTCAGGACTTGTCACCTCCCAACCTAATTCAAACTTATAACTTCTCTAGTGATCAACGTCTCGGGCTTTAACCTCACCTGTAAGGATTACCTTTGTTAAACTTCAGGATTATTAAAACTTCCATTTGGACCACAGTTGACACTTTTATCTTCAGGAAAAAATTACGTTTCCTGATTTCGAATCAGGACCCAAAAGACTCAAACCCTGATTCAAACCAACCACACGATTTGGTGGATCCAAACATGGATTCTGGCACCTAACTCCGAATCACAAGCCCGAATCCACTAACCAAACACGGGCTTAAGGAGTGTTAAAACGTCCATTGGGCCCTTGGGCCCATTGAGTCACTTTACCTTAATTGGGTCAAGATAAAGCAACCTCTGGTCTTCTAAAAAAATTTGGGTTCGATTGTAGCTTTTGGACCTCAGTTGACACTTTTATCTTCAGGAAAAAAACAGAAATAGTAAAAAATAGGTCAATATAAAAAGCTTAAGAAAATATATAGGTTAATTTTTAGCTATAAAAATTAATAAGTCATAACTTGTCAAGTTATGGTTCATAATCAGATAAGTTATGGATAAACTTGTCAAGTTATGGTTCATAACCAGATAAGTTATGGACAAAAATCATGAATTATGGATAATAACTTGTCAAGTTATGATTCATAACCAGACAAATTATAGACAAAAATAGTAATTTGACCTATTTATTAACTTATGTAAACTATTGGCCTATTAATTTTAATTCATCTCAAGTCTTAACATATTTCCTTCTTTCTCCCAAGAAAAAATTACGGTTCCTTTTTTTTTTTTTTTGGTTCAACCGCTTGTTCGTTCTTTTCGTTCCCTTTTTTTCCCCTGCCTTGCTTTTTGGTTTTGAAGGCTTTGTTGTCGTTTTTGATACATTTCTTATTATCGTTTGTTGTGCTTAATTTTTTTAAAAGGGACATATATATATATAGGCTTAGTTTGGTATTGTTTTTTCCTTTTAAAATCAATTTCTGTTTGTAGCAGAAGCTCATTTTAGTATTTGGTAAATCTACTCAAAAGTACTTTTTGAAGAATTTTTCAAGAATCTACAGCTAAAATCAGAAGTAACCTAAAGACAATTTTAGCTTTTAGATTGTGCAGGAATCAACATAGTACAATTAATGCAACTTTCATAATACCAATAATACCCCTAATAAAATTTAAAATTTACAATCTTTCCAAACTAAAATTCAGACTTGTAATATAATATAATATAATATAATATAATATAAAAGTTATATTGTAACAAATAATATCATAATTATATTAATAACTCTAATATTATTATTTTATCATAAAATAT